TTTTTTTTTTTTTTATTAGCTATTTTCATTTTTATTTTCTATTTTCTTTACAATTTTTATTTTGACACTTTAATTACTGAATAGTCAAAGCGAAGAAGAGAAAATGTATTGAGATTGTAAAAAAGAAAGCAAGGAAAAAAAAAAGAAAAGCTATTTAATTGTATGTATTTGTGTGTGTTTTTGTGTGTTTGAATCTTTGTATTTGTATTCTTCCTATTATTTTAAGCAAAATATATATTTTTTACAAAAAAATCTTAAGCAGCCAGAAACTTTTTTCTTGATGACTTCTTCTGAATCCACCCGATTGCCTGGCATCGAAAAAAAAAAAAATTGAATTGTGGAAATGATTGTAATGGTCGGCTGGAAAACAGATAGGTAAAAAAAAAATTTGGGATGCTTTCAGAGAAACAAAAACGTCTTTCCTGTTGCGTTATATTATCGGCATTCGTTATTGCAGTGATCTCATATGTTGTGGTTAGTTTTTCTTTTCTTCAATTACTTTTATTTTTAGTTTACCTCTTTTTTTTCTTCTTTTTTTTTTTGTATTCCACTATTATTTACAGTTGTTATTGGGGTGGTAGTTATTTGCAAAAAAAAGTTGCAACAAAATATATATAGCATACAGTTTTTTTGTCCAAGTTTTTCCTCGTTCTTGTTGTTGGCTTTTTTAATCTGTTTTTTCTTTCTACTCTTAACATCTAATCAGATAAGGAAAAAATGAATCAAAGAGAGATTGAAACTGTTTGATCAACTGAATTAATATGCAGTCAAAAAATCTGCTTTATTTCTATACCAAATTTTGTTCATTTTTTTTTAACCATAAAACTTATATTTATTTATTAACTGTTCTTTTTTTTTTGTCTATTAAGCAATAATAAATAAAACAGCAACAATTGATAATAATATTGACCTGAAATGTCGATGTTAAAATGACGTCAAATAAAGAATTGACATTACAGTACAAAAAAAAAAAAACAAATAGAAATAGCAGTTATTATTAGATTCTGTAGAAGTAATTTTTTTTCTACAATTAATCTGAATCAAACTTTTAGTCACCTCTGCTTGTCAACTTAAAAATTTTTTTGTTCAATCTTAGAAATAAACACTGCATATTGCTAATGCCTTTCCGTTTTTTCTTCTTCTTTTCTTCTTCTTTTTTTTTTTTTT